AGCGAATTATGTCATATGATTTGCCTGAATTTATTATAAAATCTAAAGTATATAAAGTCAGCACATTGTTCGGACTATTGTCCTCACCTTTGTCGCCATATTTATTACAATAGTCCGAATAATGTAAATAGTGTACATAATGCCTCATCTCAGAAATATAGACAGATACTGAAGTCAGCACATGTAACGAGGTTGACTGATGAACATTTAAAAGCAATTCTCATGGTTGGATGCAGCAATACCAAAACAAATATTAATTATATCTTAAAAGGTAAATACCAGTTTTACAAATCTTACTAACCTTTTTATGCTGCTTTGTCTGTAAAATTCGGACATGCGCAGTACGTATGATATAATTATTTTATTGCTATTGTCGCCTTCTTGGATAACTTTTTAGTAAATAAGCATGTCTTTATTTTTTGTGCATTCAGTTTATTGTAATGAAGAAAATGGTTATCCGGCCCGCGCTCGTCATTCTCTCAATTATCTGGCCCTCTGTGAAAAAGGTTTGGTGACTCCTGCTCTAGATTAAGCACCTAAATAGGAAGGGTAATGGTTTGCTATATAAATTCATTGTACGGAAGCCAAAACAATAATCATACCATGTGATTTCTTAATTATTTGTTTTTTTTTTTTTTGTTTTTAATTTGTAATCTAATGTGGTTAAACGTTAATAATATATGAAAAGAAAAGTGCAGTTTACCTATATCATATTTTTTTTCTTTTTTAAATTTTAAATCACATAGCATGTAATTGTTTTTGTTTAGCGGCATATCAACACCTCTGTGGGTTATTTTACCGAAATCTAAATATTTTGTATGCAATTTTATTTTTGGAGATACTAATGATTTTAGTGATATACGTTTTACTAATTAACCCATAGCTGGGGAGAAGAGTTGGATTCATATATTTCCCAAGGGTATTTGTATGTAAGTGAATATAACGAATCCAGTGCCAATTAGATTAAATTTGGGATGCCATTATTAGAAGAATGTGAAGCAGACAATAGGTAAATTTATCAATTGATAGTGAATTTACCAAAGCAAACCGGACCCTCTTAACAACTTTTTATAAAATTTAATAAATTTATTTTTCGTGATCTAAAGTGCTTAATATATAGGAATATGGAAAATAATTTCTGGTTACAGTTTTTTAGTACAAGTTCACCCGCGTATACTGTCTTGCTCACGAAATTTCTTTCCTTCACAGGAAACATGGAGACTGGACACAGTAAATACGAGTGAAACAGTTAAGGGGAGATAACTTATGTTTAAACTTATCTACAACACGGACTCAAATTCTAAATGAGTTGACATCTTGTTTAGAATAAAAAAAAATAAAGTGAGCTCTTTTCACAAACCATTTTAGAGTCTAGTGAGTTAAATCAAAGCTCACCTAATCTAGCCTTGTACCAGACTAACCTAACGGAGCATATATCTACACTTAGGTTGAGCAATCGTAAGCAATCTAGTTACGCAGACAATTATAGCAAACGTTCTATTTACCGGATGCCACTTTAGCAAAAACCCAATGTTAAAGCGTGAATTTGTCCAATGACTCGTGTACAGGTCGAAAAAATCTTTTCCCTTCGCAATGAGTGGAGAAGTTAGAAATGAGCCTTCTCATCGTTTAGATTTGACAGTCAAGAGAGAAAATGACAGTAACGAGACCTTTTATAATTGACTAGCTTAAAAGCTGCCCTACGGGGCGGTATTTAAGCTAGCTCCTCTAGAGGACTCTTGGTTTGGCCATTATCACAATAGCTAGGGAGGAGTAGATGTGATAGGCATCAATAAACTATAGAACTCAAAATTGGTCGCTGCATTTAAATATTGAATTAATGTTTAAAGTATACCTTTTAAAAGTTCAACGATAATTCTTCTGCTGCCACTTAAATTAAAGACGATTTGATGTACGTAGATCCTTATTTTCCGTACAAACAATTTTTATTTCCTTGGGTGATAGAACAGGGGACAATTTATAAGATAAAATTAATATAGTGTAAAGATGGGAAAATAGAAATTAGAATTAGTTATACATTCCACATTTGAAGAGTTAGAGAAACATAATAGCTAATTAAGTAAAACCTTTATTATGGAATATAATATATTAATATATATTTTAACCTCGCATAATCTGGTAACCCTGAATCTGAGCTCAACGAAAATCGTTCCCTGCACCTAACTTTTCTAAGGCTTTTGAATGGGCTATGAATCATTGAAAGTGGGAGCAGAGGAGTTGCTTAGACATACACGCGCACAAACACACACACACATATACTGCACTTTATATATAAGATGAATGAGATGTGCGGGCAATGTAGCAGTTAACGGTGCAGAATTCTAACCTACTGTGTTCATTTCAGCAAAAGGCATGAACCCACATATACCCATTCTCCAAGCTATTCATTAAATAATAGGGTATACTGTGCTCTCTAGTCTTGTGTGGCAACCAGACGATGAGAAAGTAACCCTAAATTTCAAAACCGCGAAGAAAGCCACTCTACTTTTTTCCCATGTCATGTCAACTTATAGATAATAAAGAAATGAATTATGTGGAGAGCCATGATCGCTTACGTCCTGAAGGGAATATCATTAAAAATGTGTACACAAACATATGTATAGATACCTCGGTGTGGGGTGATTGCGGACGAAACTACTGGGTCGTTATTTTGATCTACACTCGTTACCCCAAACTTGTTCAGATATACGTAACATTCTAACTATAAAAGAGATGAAAAAAGTCCTAAAAAGTCTCATAAGTACTAATATATTCCCCACTGATCCCAGTAAAAAAAATAAAACTTATCATATATTATACTAAATTTAACTCAGCCAAACTAAATCATGAGCAATAACTCTTCTTCATCAACTAGTGTCTTGGAGAAAGAAAATAAAACTGTATATCAGTTGAAATGTCCTTTGGGAGATTGTATTTCTGACAAAAATAGTAAGTACATATTTTGGATTGATAACAACATTATCAAGATGTCTTACACTTAATTTGTTGAATACAAGTTCTATTGCACAACATCTAAAAGCATATTCCTGTCCACCTTCACAATACAGGAAAATACTTGTTGACAACACCAATAGAGTACACCACGAAAAATTAAAAACAAAGACTTCAAATTCTCGAGGTCTATTATATCAAAATCAATCATACAATAACCAACAAAATTTATTACGAATATAGCAACAACATATTAAAATGTATATATCATTTATATAATAATGTCATTTTACATTTCTACCAATTCCCGGTCAGCTTCTTTGCAGTGAAACGCTTGTTTTGTAAAAAAAAAAAAAAAAAAAATTCAAGAGTTACGTAGTTTTTTTCATTTCATTTTCCCAAGTATTTTCCCAAATACTTTCAATCTCATCCAAGATCATCTTCAGGGATGTTTTAAAATGTCTATAACATTAAGGTTTTAAAATACCTAAATTGTATTTTTTTTAAATTACAATTATAACAGCAATATTTTAAAATACTTTATCATTTTTTTAAGTGAAATATATATATATATATATATATATATATATATATATATATAAAGTAAGTTACCTCCCTTAGATAACGTCAATTTTTGAATTAACAGGGCGCGTTTCATGCACATTTACAAAAAAATTCACATTAATTTTTTTTAAATTAACAATTCACCACTGAAGTTGTTAAGCAATGCTGAGCCTGGTCAGTACCTAGATGAGTGACTGCTTGGGAACACCAGGCGGTGAAAGCTTGGATATACGGGTGATGTAATGGATTATGGCTAGGAATTGTTAATTGGAGAGCCAGTTTCAATTCCTGATGGAATCGTTGTATTCACTTAGGCGCAAATACTATTGGCAAAGGTTTGAATCCACCTTCTCCCTCAATTATGGGTTAATTAGTAAAACTTGCATCGATAAAACATTATTATCTAAAAAGATGATTACAATCCAAAATATTTTTTCAGGATTCAAAGAACCTGTAATGTGTTGATAAGTCGTAAAAAAAGAAATCAGTCAACTTTGTATATAAGACGAAAGGCGAATTTTAACCATTTCTGTTAACTGCGTTTTATATGATGTCAAATACGGCAATATTAAGTGGTTCATCTCTGATTGTATAGTAAAATTGTATTGTAGAGGATTGTGGGGTTTTGTTTTTAGCGGGAAGTGATTTCATTAGCTGGAATATATTTTGATTTATTTTTCTTTTCAAACGGAAACTCTGCGTGATCCAGCTGCGCAGAAACACATTTTTAGTCATTTACCCTTTAGTGACGGAAGTGTTAACTTCGGTTCGTGCTTTGGTCAATACAACTACGATACGTAGGCTACATGAACGCATTAATTTTCAATCGTCAGAAACAAATAAAATTGCGTTTTCTCTTTCCTTATACAAGATGGAGATGTCTTTTGTTTTATTTTATTTTATTTCATTTTATTTTTTTTGTGTGTGCGTGAAAATCACGTTTGTTGAAAGCGAATTGAATATTTTCAAATGTCTACTTGCAGGCCGTGTTTCATGTGGAATATATGAAAAGAAAATCTCGCGCCCAGCAACTGAAAACAATAGTATGCCAGGAAACACCGAAAGGCTTCAGTACGTTGATTAAACATCGCAATTTGAGCCAATGGTCCTTGGCGTGTGAAACATCGTAGTCAAATGACAAAGATGGCGGTCACAAGAGTCATTCAATTTTAATTAAAGAACGAGCAACGATAAAAAAAAAAAATGAAGGAAAAAATGAAACAATTGAGACTGTCATCAATATCTCTCACCTGCATTTTCCTCTGCCTCTTCTTTGTGTATGGAAATATCGTCGATTCTATCTATCTGTCGATTTTATCTATCTATCTATCTATCTATCTATCTATCTATCCCTCTATCTATCGCACACTCATATTTCTTTTCTTTTTTTTCATTGGCATTCATCTATCTCAGCTGATTGAGATAAGTTATCTATCTATATCTCATTTGCTCTCTCTCTCTCTCTCTATATCTATATATATATATATATATATATATATATATATATATATATATATCCATCCTATCTCTTTCTATCTCATTATTTATTCCTTCTCTCTTTTCCCTATATCTAAGACCTTTCTTTCTTTCTTTTTCTTTCTTTCTTTCTTTCTTTCTTTCTTTCTTTCTTTTTCTATCCCAGGCTGTTCTATTCATCCGTATTCTCCACCACTTACTCTCCTTTTTCTTTCAATTCTTTTATATCTGACTTCCTCCTCCTCCTCCTCCTCCCCCTCTCTCTTCCTTACACCTATAGTCTCTCTTATCTTCCTTTCGTTCTTTATCTATCTATCTATCTATCTATCCCCGCCTCCTATCTATCCCACTATGTTCATTATCTATTTATATGTCTTCTCCACAACCCCCCCTCTCTTGATCTATCTATGCATTTTCTCTTTTATCTGTAACCCTTCTTTACCACGCCTCTTAATATTCTCTCCCCCCTCTCTCTCTCTCTCTCTCAGCAAAAGATAAATTTGCACCTGACCACACCTACAGTAAACACGATTATCTTGCATATTAAAAAAAAACAAAAAGAAATATTTTTTCTTACAGACACATACACATACCCATATATATATATATATATATATGGGTGTGTGTATATGTGTATGTATGTATAAACAATTAAATCATTTACCTATAATGAAAGCTCCCAAGCAATTACTAATTACAAGGCGCTATTAATAGTAACCCAAGGGTATTTTCACAAAACTGACAGAGCCTCAATATTTGTCAAAACAGATGACACTTTAATAAGCTTAACTATATTAACATATGTCCATATGCACATACAGACAGATAAATACTCACATATGCACATAAACTCAACAGACATATGATACACAATACACAGAGTAATATATAAAGAGATGCCATAACGCATAATGCTTAAAATATTATACACTTTAGATATTTTTGTCCGATAAGTCAAGATTTTAACGAATAAAATTAAATGTTCAAACTTATCTTTCTGACTCGGAGTTTCATAGATATATTATCAAATATTCAGGAGACAAAAATTGAATTTATTTGCAGTTATCATATATCGTCTGGTTTACACCTCTCCCACCCCCTCATTTTTTTGAACAGGTGTAGAGGTTTATCCCTAATTTCTTGTTTAAAATCAGGTCTTCGGTCCATTTCAAAGTCTTTTCATTCGCTTTCATTCCTAGTAGCCCCTTGCATCTTAGTGGGATTATCGCCTTGCTTGGGTTGAATTGATTAGAATAAATTTCTCTTAAAAAGGTGTCAACATTTTATGTTAACTAATTTTAAATTTGTTCTTTTATTAAAGACCTTATTGCATAACTTTCTCTAATTTGAAATCGATCAGTTACACATATGAGATAATTTTTTGTATGATTTGTTTCCGTTATGGATAAGAATGTTTAAAAAAAAAAATAAGTACCATACATTTCTACGTATAAGGCGACCTTTCAATCACCCAAACCCCCTTAAAAATTGTGAGTCGTCTTATGCTATAATTCCAAAAAAAAAAATCTTAAATTCTTAGGTGAAATCTGAACTCGTAGAAATACTGAATGTCGTTCGTCTGGACATTTGACATGAAAATATCGATAGAGTTACGAGTGGCTACTTATCTCTGGAGAGGGGGTTGTACAGTGGAAAATTATATATCTAAAAGAAGTATATTTCCGCGTATAAGACGACCTTTAAATCCCAAAAATCACCCTTAAAAATTGGAAGTCGTCTAATACTACAATTCTAAAAAGAAACCTTAAATTTTAAGTGATGTTTGTCGGTAGGTTAACCTCGGCCTCCGTACGGTAATCATTAACGTACATGAAAATATTCACATTATCAAATAAAGGGATAATAAAAGTAATAAAAACATTTCTACCTTTTATATTACTGGTATAACTTCATAATAAATTGCCTATTCGAAGAATAATTTCATATCAATGAAATCAACTTGTATCCATTCAAATGGACTGAGAAAATGTAAACATCGAGTCTGTTTTTTTTGTTTTTTTTTCTAGCAACAGCACAGTTGTTCCATTCCTTGGCTATTTTAATAACTTTCAATATAAATCTCGATTTAAGCTTCCTTCATTTTACTGGTGATATCCGTATAAATTAATAAGAAATTTCAACTGACTTAGACAGAAGTTAAGAACAGACTGAATTTTTAAAAAAAAAAGTATGACACCAGGTGGTTTGTAAATGTTTAGATATAGGAAAGGAAGAAGAATAGGTTTTTGCAAGAGATCACGTGATGAAATATAAACAAAACCAAATATACGTTAAGTATAAGTAAATGGCCATTAGTACACCAGGTGGTTTGTAACTGTTTAGAAGAAGAAGAATCGGTATTCGCAAGAGATATATTTAAACTGTCATATTACGTCATGAATCCTGTAATTCACTAGGATCGAGAGTGTACCACAAACCTGACGGAGCCTATCCCTCTTCAAACTATTTTTTTTTTAATTCAGAATTTTACTTCTTCTAGACTTTTTAAATCTATAGCTGGGAGCAGGAGAAATGGTTTTTTACATAACAAATATATTTGTGAGCTTTGCATACTCGGTTGAATTCGAATTCAGCTCGCTGAATTCTCTCTCGAATCGCTAACCGTTACACTACCCATGCGTCCACTTTTTTCAACTAAACGCATAAATTACATGATTTTTTTTAATTAACAACATTTTTACATGTTTTCGGCCGATCCATTATTCAACCATCATCAGGTGATAAATATGGAAAGAGTTGGGGCATATGGAATACTTTTCCCCGAGGAAGCACAAAATAGAAAACGGTATCAAAAAATGTTTTTTTTTTTTTTTTAGAGGACGTGGGTAAGAAAAAAAAACTTAATATAGAACCAGTTTTGTTCTTTTTCTTTATTTTAACAACGTTTCCAATAACATCATCTTTATATAATTGATAAGCAGTCGTCATATACTACAGGTATAGAATAAATTCATGAAAATTTGCTATATTTTCGTCTTTATCTAAAGGTCGTCTTATACGCGGAAATATACAGTGAATTAATTTTAAGTAAGTTGTTAATATTGTGAAGGCTTTATTTTATATAAGATCTGACTTCTGTAAATATTTGCTAAGGGTTTTTATTATAGTTATACTATCGTAATAATAATAACAATAGCAGAACTAAAAAAAAATACGTAAACATTAAGAGAATTAGGCGTACTTTTCAGGTAAAAAAAAACTTTTGTCAGATAGCGCTCAATTTTCTACATACAACGTGTGAAAACATGTACAATGCCCTGCCCTCGTCAGCCACCAACTAGCGGAGGTAACACAGTTTCAGTGGCTAAGGTGGTACTGCCACACCTGGCGCCACCGGCAGCTTTTTGCCACTGGACAGGCTATTGTTTTTTCTGTGTAGACGTGCCAGTCTCTGCGATTTTCATGCAATTGCAAGAATCAAATGTTCAACGTTGCGTTAAAAGCGTTTGCTATTGATCGTTTAGCAAAACATTACGCGCTCATAGCGACCGTTATTAATGACGTAAAATGGAAGGTAAACAGATGTTTTTCACGTCGGAAGTAGCATTGTGTTGCGACCATGGTTTTAATCTTGACCAGATCCAACTCGATGTCTGCTAAGCTGTGGTCAGGAGACGAAGTGAAGCACTCTTCAGGCACCGGCCAGTGATACCCACCTTCAAAAGAAAAGAAACGATCGACCTCAATAGGTAGCACATGGTATGTCTACCCCTTTTCTATACAGCTGGATCTCAGCGATTGATAGCGGCTCATCTGCCTCTTCAATGTTCTCCTCCCATTGAACCGTTAATTCTACTAGGAGGATCCGCATCTATAATATATAAACTTCTATGTAATAACTTGAGCTATAATATTCAATAAAGCAACAAAATTTCAACTGACTCATTTGATTGCCCACTTCAAGAATTTCGCTTTGAAACATTCATCCATATATCGACTTAGTGAGCATCCGGCTATGAGCGTTCCAAGGCGAAACTTTGGAGTCGGGCAATCAAATGAGTCAACTGGATTTTTGTTTATTTATTAAATACTATCGTAATATTTAAAATTGTGGTTGTTTTGATGTAAGTAAACTTACAGTCTATTTTACTATGTAATGTTTTCACTTTTTTACATATTATTTTTTTAAATCGTCATTGTTTTTTTATATAAAAAACAAAAAACAAAAACGATATAAAAAATATGTATACACACACACACACATACCGATATGTGTGTGTGTGTGTGTGTGTGTGTGTGTGTGCGTGCTTAAAATATAATTATATATAAAATATAAGTTTTTCCCCTTATAAATAAGAATGCATGACTATATTTAAAGTAAGTTGTTAATATACTGAAGGGTCATAACTTTTTCGAAAAACTCCGGGTTGATAAGATGAGACTGAATATTTTATTTTCTTTTCTTGCAATTAATACTGTATTTTATCATGTTGAGCACTTTTACTTACAAAGACTGCTTGCCGTAAAAAAAGCATTACCCCACAGAAATACTTGATCGACATATTTTTTTTTTTTTGGCAAAACATATTTTGTTAACACTCTTAAGTCAAGTTTTCTAAACAAAACTGTTAACACACATATGCATACTTGCATATCAACACACACAGAAAACTTATATATTTACGTCACGAATCCCATAATCCTTTAGGATCGAGAGTGTACCACAACCTGACGGAGCTTATGCCTCGTCAAACTGTTTTTTTTTTTTGTTTTTTTTAATTCAGAGTTTTCCTTCTCCTAAGCTATTTAATCTATAGCTGGGAGCGGGAGAAATGGTTTCATAACAAATATATTTGTGACTTTTACAAACTCGGACGGAATCCGAACTCAGCTCGCCGAATTCTCTCTCCGAGTCGCTAACCGTAACACTACACGCGCGTCCGCTTTTTAAACTGAACGCATAAATTACAATGTTTTTTTTTTTCTTTTGTTTTTAATTAACAACATTTTTACGTGTTTTCGGCCGATCCATTCTTCGGTCATCATCAGGTGATAAATACGAAAAGAGCTGGGGAGTGTGGAATACTTTTTCCTTGAGGAAACGAAAACAGAAAATGTTATCAAAATTATTGAGATCTTATCCCAAACAACTTTTGAAATGATAATGGCTCATCGCAAAATTAAAGATGGTACCATTAACAAGAAATCTTTCAATTTCCGACTCTGTTACTTTAACTCAATGATTTTCAACCGAGGTATCGCGACATCCGGGGTATTCTGCAGATGGTAGTGAGGGTGCGACAAGCTTTTAAATGGTGACTCTCGGATTACACTTATTCAATAAAATAAATAAAAACAAATAAAACAATAAAACAAAAGTATAGATATTTACTTGACCCCCATCCCTCCCACTGAGTCAGGTTGTGACACAAGGTCAATTTTTAACATGGGAACCCGAGTGTTTTCGCTGGTCTAAGCTGGTCTTAGCCTGTCGTAGCTTGTCCAAGCTGGTCAGAGCTGGTCTAAGCTGGTCTTAG